GTAAGGGTTAAGGGGTAAGGGGGTAAGGGGTAGGGGGTAAGAGGTAAGGGGGTAAGGGGTAAGGGGTAAGGGGTTAGGAGGAGAGGAGTAATAGGTAAGAGATAAGATGACCTTTCATAAGATGTCCTTATTGCACGACCAGTTACATTCGTCGTGAACCACATAATTAATCCTCGTTACACTTACAAACTATTATTCTCCTATATCAGATCTATTTCTGATCACTACATGGTCATTTCATGTGTTTGAACGTCTATACTGTAAATGAAACAAATTCGTCTACTCCACAACAGCTACGTCGAAAGCTATCCGGCATCGTATTTTCTTTGTGTAATCTGATGTGAATGTGAAAGGTGGAAGAAACCCTCTCGCCAATAGTGATGCATGTGTCAGCATAAACACACCACACTCGTTGAAGTCGCGCTGCTTTGGAATGCCTTCCACTTGCCATATATAGTTGAAGTTTTTCGTGTCAATTTCTTGATCTTGTTCGACCGACCTCATGTACAGAAATCTTGCAAACCCCCCTGTCACCTTCGCCGCGAGTTCAACATCCGACGTCAGCGAATCGTAGTACTCAAATTTCATACGCCTAAGATCTGCCACTACGAGTGTCCAATGTTGGTTGTGCGCGACGTGAAAAGGTGCAATGATCAAATCCATGTCACTAATCACGACCTCTGTGAACCAGCTGTGAACCTTTTCGTACTTGAACTTCATATCGCTATCAAATAGTTTTGCGAAAAAAAATGAGCTTATAACTGCTATTGTAGGAATGCGCCTCTTTCCTGTTCTAACGTTCTTCGAATCGCAATTATGGTGCTTCACACGACACTCATTGTCCAGTCGGACAAGGTTAAGATAAAAATTAACTATCTGCTCGTTCAACCACTTTTTTTCTATCATTAGCAATCTAAAATCGTTGACTATCATCGTTAATTATTTTTTTGTGTCTTCGTTGAATGAACTTGTTATGACGTCGCTATCCCCAAGTTTCACTCGCAATCGCGTGAGGACCTTCATCTCTCTCTTCGTCAAATTCGTTGTTGCCAACTGGACGTTCCATCCTTTTTTGCACCTCCGGTTATCCTCCATCGTCGTTTGTGCTGCACATGACAACGCGTCATGTCTTTATGTGAGCTCATGTTTCAATACGTCCATTTCTAGTCATGTTCATTGCATTCAATTTGTTGTAGTAATGCGTAGTAAGGGTTACCTTAAAAGAGTGGGGTGCTTATTCAAACTAATAATTTACGTAGTTGAAACCAATACACTCCATTATTTTCTTTCATGCACTTCCATCATATTCATCAACCGCATTAACTAGGAGTTACCTTCAACGACCGAGTTTTGAAAAAACTCATTTACCAATGACATCTCTTCATGATATTCATCGACCGCATTACCGGTGTTTTACGACATAGGGCACGTATATTTATGACATTCCTCGCTATTAATCACCTTTCGTTAGATTCATCGATCGATAAGTCGATCGATATATATATATATATATATATATATATATATATATATATATATATTTTCAGCCTCCTGATGAGTCGGTGAAACTCCGATGAAACAGTTTGTCACAGCCCCTCGTTTGGTGTCCTCTTCTCTCTCTCTGCCTACGGTTTACCGGGCAGTTCTGTTTGTGACGATATATATATATATATATATATATACAGAGAGAGAGAGAGAGAGAG